AAGCTGAAGCAGGGAGTCTGCAAGAGTTAGCCCTTTATGCATCCAAGTGGAGCAGACACACCTGGAATACAAACTCCTGGGGGCAGGGCCCACAGCCTGGTTCTCCTGGTGCTCATCGCAGAGTCTGGCCCACGGCCACACTGCACTTAGTTAATTGTTGATCATTAACTTTAATTAGTTTTTGGTTGAATTTCTACTTGGTTTGGGAGAACTCTCTGTTGAGACTCTGATGAGAACTAGTGTTAGGTTTCCATCTTTAATCTTTTGGGAAACAAAGTAAAAGCTGAGAAGCGATCCCAAGTGAAATAACTTTCTCCCACTTGGCTTTGGCGTTAGAAGATGGTGAGGTTCTGCCTTCATAGATAATTACAACCACAGAAAGGACACTTCAGAAAGCATGACTCTCCGCCAATATAAAATTTATCCTGAAGGGCAAACTTTATTATTTTTTTTTTCCCAAAGGGCAGACTTTTAAGTATGTACTCACTTGATCTGAATGGAGTCCATCGTGTTCCCTGGGACTTTGAACCCAATCCCAGGGAATTTCTCAAAGCAGAGTAATTTTTACATCTATTACAATGAAGACTACCACCCAAGCTATGAGGGGTAGTTTGGCCATAGAGTAGGGTTCCTCCTCACTTTACTGAGAGGCCCTCAGTGTTCCCACGGAGCAACTAGTTTTGTTGTTGCCAGCGGAGGCCTAAAATACTGAACCTAATTTTCAATATGCAGGAGGGCTCTCTGGTGACCGATATTCACTCGTAGCACTAACATGAGGGGAACTTATTGGAGCCTAAGCTTTGATAGGTCAAAATCTCTGACACTCCGTGAAGGCAGAGAGTCTAAATCCAGCTCCCTACCTAAAAGCCCCTCCTGGACAGCACGCCGCCAGGCACACCCAAGCGACCATCTGCCACCATGGACAAGGCCATAGATCGGACCTGCTTTTATTCAACTGTCTGGCTGTAGAGCTCACAAGTTGGCTGGAGAGAAAGTTTGCTAGATCATTCCGTTTAGAGGGCTCAGGACAGAGCATCTCAGCTTTATGCCTCTCCCAGCCTGTGAAGTCATTCCACCAGAAGACCCTGACAGAAATGCAGCCTTTCTCATCAGGAGTTCAAGAAAGGGAAGGGAGAACAAAAGACTTCTTGGAGTGAGACAGAGTGTCACTGATGCTTTATTTACATGCGTCACCATCTCTTTTACAAACTAGATTACGGTTTTAAATGGAATACACAAGGCAATTATCTACAAACACCAAGAAAAGTTAAGTACTGTGTCTCTATTTCATTTGGAAAGGGGAAGGTTCCCAAATCAAACTGGTTTTGATTCTTGAGAAGAGAGGTGGTAGAGTTAATTCATGGCAACATATGGTTGGACAAAATCCTCAGTTAGAATGCAATATGATAGTGTTCGCTTGGAGAGAAAGGGTGAGGTGCTTCAAAGTATCAACCGCTGGTCTCTCGGGTGTCTGAAGACGGCCATGCACCATATTTAATTCTAGTCTGAGTGGGGTATGAGCAAGAAATTGGAACAGGTAAGACAATTTTACAGATACTGTATACAGATTTTTTTTCCATTCATGCAACTTTTTTTTCGTAAAAAAGTTAAACATGTGAAGCCAAAATGCACAATGTATTTTTTTAATATTAACTAATTTTTCTGGTCCTCCTTCACATCTGTTTACATTTCCCGTGTACATAATGTGCTAGGACAAGTATACAAGAGAAGACTGATTGCCAGGCAATGAGATAATTTTAGAGAAATAAGTGACCAGACACACAGGTTTTTAAAGAAGCCACACACATAATTCTGGAGTGTGGCAGAGGCCTCAGAACCAATCATTCATCAAAGAAAAATACACACAAATAAAACCAGAGGAAAATATTTCATTCATTCAAACTGCATAAAATGTTACCCACCGACAATTCAGATCAAATAGAATAGACTCTTTTCAGTTACTTGGGCGTCTGTGTCAAGATCTTGTGTGCAGACATGATTTTACAAGGCCTGTGCTATCCCCTCATTGTGCCTGCTGCCCCCAGTCTTCAGGAGAGGCTGGCTTTTTCGTACCTCTTTGCCAGTGATTGCATTTCTACAAAAAAACTGCTAAACTAAAAAATACAACAGTATGCCTAATCGTACAATGTTCCCCAAATTCATCAAGAAAAAGGAAATCAGAGTTCAAGCTATCACGGTTTTGCTTTTGCTTTCAGAGAGAAAGGGTGACATTCGCACTTCCATTTAGCAGCCCAGAGCATCAGCATGCGACACAGGACTGGCTGCCTGACTGCTGTACTCTTGGTGGTCTCCCCAAGAGATTTCAACGGTCCTTCTTCTGTAAGCGGGGTCCACTGGGTGTAGGCCAAGGCTGTCCCTAATGTCTTCAACAAGACTGGAAGCCACCTGAAAGGTCGCCCTGAGACTGGGCAGAGCTGTCCTGAGCTGTGAGTCATGAGGGCCTCCCCACAGGGTGGTCAAATGCCACACACAGAACACCCAAACTCAACACCAAACACACACACACACACACACAGAGCCCACCTTGTATCACACATATGTGCACAATCCTGTTAACAGGAAAGACAAACTTTAGACATTTTTAAAAAAATCTGTGTTTCAGCAATCATCCCATTGCGAGGGGATGCACTGAGGGAGCCGGGGCTCAGCTTCATTCACAGTTAACGGGGGCGCTGAACCTGGCAGGCAGCTCTCACAGCAGGAGAAGGAAGGCTTATAAAGCTCTTTTCTAACTTTGGTACAAGGTATCTGGTGCTGGAGCCTGAAGAGAGAACAACAGAACCCCAGAGTGCATGTCGTGTTTTCAACATTAGTTACTCTTCTTTTTAATTTCCCGTCAAAAAGTGGAAGGCTCCCCAGAGCAGCTTATTTAGAGGCTGGAGATAACCTGGAATAGTTCTCAGCAGGATGCGAACATTACAGCCGCCAGGCCCCTGGAGGCCAAGTATTCCACCGGGACGCTCCAGATCAGAAAACTTACGACTCGTGACACTCAGAACTCCACATGGCGGCCGACCGCTGGCCCTTGCTGAAAGCAGAGTCTCCGTGTAAGAGACGGAGGTCTCAGGCGGCCGCCCTCCGCCCTGTGTGACCACCTCCTGGTGGCTCCAGGGGAGCCTGGCCTCGGGGTGGGGGGGGAAGGCCAGCTGGTAGTGGCCGAGGCTGAGAGGGGCGCTGCCGTGATCCTGGATGGGCCTGACTGTTCCAAGTCCCTCTGGAAACTGATGCTGGCACTCGGCTTTGTCCTGATCTCAGCTCTCCACAATGCTCTACACGTAGATACTATCTGCATTGTTAAAAAACAAAAAACCCAACAAATGCAAAGCACCCCTCCCCCTCCATTTTCCTGATGTGCTCTGCGGCTGCCCTGCTCCCAGACCTCCTCCGTCCCTCCCTCAGCTGTTTCGGATTAAATTATAATCTAGTTCCAGGGCATTTTGTAAGACATTCTGCCTGAACTCTAACAAACGCTGAGAAAAAGAGAATAATAAATGAGATGCCACATGTCTGAAAGGAAGTCAACATGGGTTGAAACCTATTTGGGAGTTGTTTTTTTTTTTTACTCCCAAAGTAGCTCTCGGGGTCTATAAAACTGAAAAGGCAGACTAGCTGTTTTGTTAGTTTGCTGTTTCTTTCCGTTCAGGAGAGAAGTTCTCAGGGCCCTCATGCTGTAAGCACGGGATTCTCCTCCTCGCTGCCCTCCCTCCCCATCTCCCACCCCGCAGTGGCTGTAGTTGTGTCCCTGTGGCATCCCCGTCAGGGCGGCATCAGCTACGAACCCAGCAAGGCAGTCTTCTCTCAACGACACCGGACAGCTCCTGTGTACAGCGGACTACCAAAGAATCAAGGAAGTGGCTAGCGTCACTATAAAGGGATACGGTAAGCCGAAGTCTGTCTCACGGACAAGCGGACCCCATGAAGAGAATACACACCTTTAAAAATTATACATACTTTTAAAATGAAGATTAAAAACGTGTAGCAGTTTAGAAAAGGCAATATGCTACAGGCCTACTATAACCACAACCGCACGACAATGTACAGTTTCAGTAAAAGGCAGGGTGAAATCAACAGGGCCATCACTCAAACATGAGAACCCAAGCGAGGCGGGGGAGGCGTGTGACAATACCAAATGGAACTTCCATTATGCTAGGAGCTGTTCTCACCACCAGTATCACCCCCAGAGGAATTGGGAAGCAAAGGTGCACAAGGGGGCCCCTAGCGGCAGGTGGCAGGTGCAGGGGTCGGGTGGCATGTCTATGGTGGGAGGGAGTCGGTGCCCACTGCACGGTGCGAGCATCAGCAAAACTCATGCAGGGAAGTCTGTGCTGAACTACTAGCCTGTGTTCCTAACGTCCATGCAGAATGTTCCATTTTTGTACTGTACATGATAAAATTTATTTATACATTTATATACCTAATGCTTTTTATGCAAAGAAAAGAGTGTTCATCTACCACTCTGGAGAAGTGCGCATGTGCTGCGCTCATCAGAGCTTCATTACACCAGTTTTTCGTGTGTGCCCAAGGTGTTCCCAACTATTCTATCGAAGAGGGTAATGATATAATCACAATTTCCTGGCTAAACAGAAAGCACCTATACAGCACCATTAACTTTTTGAAAACCAAAGAAAATGAAATCCATAGAAGCAGAAAGATGAGGGGGAAAAAGTCATAACTGCCCTATCTTGTACTTCCATCGTGTCACTTGTACAATTACAATCTAAGCTTTATATATATATATATATATATATATTAGATTCTCTGTGTGTGTGTGTGTATATAAAAATCAGTTTGTATACTATTGCCTCTCACTCACACATGTCTAGTAGATCCGATTATACACAGCAAGGCTGAAAATAATCAAGGGTATTTTAGGAAAATAGTGACTCTGCTTTGTACTTTTCACACATTTCCCACTGTAGGCTTAACGCTCACCTGCAAGTTCATTTCTTCTGCAAAGCAAAACAGGACTTTTTTTTTTCCCTTTCTCCTTAAAACTAAATCCCTTAGTGGCATTTGGCAATGAGTGGGCAGCTGAGCAGACTTATTTCTTGAAAAGACCCTAATTTCTAACCAGCACACCATCACTATTCACTGCATTAGCTGAGGATAATGCCAGGGGACCAGAGGCCCGACTGCTCTGGAACTGCAGACCAGGGGCTGGGGGTCCCCCCGACCCCAGCCCCGACTCAGAACGAAAACACACTGGGTCGCATGCAGCACTCCATTCGTTGGGCCTGTGCAGGGGTCAGTCCTGGACTGGTGCGCACGGCAAACAGTTGTGCCACTGTTCGGTTTTTAGAAAAGGATAGTTTTCTACCGAACAAAAGAAGAAAGAAAATCCCCCTCTGGTTTATGTAATTTGTTAGTTTATGGAGTTCCAAGAGCTCAAATGCTTGTGATGCCCAAAGCTAGACTAGTAACTGGTACAACATTTTCCTTCTGTTTTTAAATTTGCCAGGGGAAGGATGATTAACATTTTAACATAAAAATACTGCAAGTTAATGCATGTGAAAAACTCAGAAAGTCAAAGGAAAACAAACACAAAAAACGACACTTAAAACATCCCATAAACCATCGTGATATGAATACACCACAGAGTCGCCAACAGGAGCTCACGGCGTGCTCCGAACGAGGGTGGGTGGTGCTGACAGGGTGCCGTCCTTCGCTGGCAGGTGGCTCATGACCCTGTACAAGGAAGATTTTGCATACTTTATATAGAGAGTTCTGTTCCAAGGGTAAGTGCTTCACCCGGGGTAAGGGGCCATTAACAGTCTCTGCTGGGTTAGGAAAATGGTGCGGGATTCACAAAGGTGTTAAGCTGTAAACGGTATCACTGTCCACTTGCTGAGAGCAGATTTGGCAAAGGGTTTCTCTGTAGGTCTTGTGTCAGTTTGAGGGTCTGCAGGAGGAGAAAAGAAAAACCAGAGATGATTAAGGACATTCAAACAGCAATCGTAGGCCCCTCTGGCTCACGCTTCACCAGCCTCCCGTCTCCTCACCTCACCTCCATACTAAGGGTACTCACACTAAAGCTGTTTTGCTACACTAGCTTCAAAGGTCTGAAAACCTAAGGAAAAAGCATGGAGACTACTTACCTTATTTTTCTGCTTGATTATATGATGCTCTCAAGTTGAAAAAGCCTAGAGGAAATTAGGTCATTCATTTTGGGAGGTTAACAAAGAGAGGCAAGTTAGGGGTGTTTTAGTGGGCCCTTTCTTTTTTTTAATCTCTAAGACTTATTTATGTATTTATTTGAGAGAGCCCACACAAGTGTGTGATTGGGGAGAGGGAGAAGAAAAGCAGCAGACTTCATGCTGAGTGCAGAGCCCAATGTGGGCCTTGATCTCAGGACCCTGAGATCACGACCTGAGCCAAAACCAAAAGTCAGATGCTTAATGGACTGAGTCACCCAGAAGCCCCGTTAGTCGGTCCTTTTAAGTTAGGCATCCAGGGTGCAGATGGGATTTTGCTCTAGGATTTTCAAGCTACAACCAGAAAAGCTGGTCACCCTAAGCAGACCAGCTATGTTTTTCTGGTTCTCTCCCAGTGGCTACATGGACTAACAGACCTTGTTTACCATGAGTACCGGGGAGCTGAAATGGCCACTTTCCACAAAGGCTTACTCAGTCTGCACCACTGGTTGGAGATCACTTTGACTCCCCTTGCTTATTAAAGGAATAAGCAATCTCTAAGTGGACTGTGTAGGAATTTTTTTTTTCTATTAAAAGTCTGCAAAGAAAAAAAAAATATGTAACACACACATATGGCCAAAAACTCCTCCCATACAAAACATCCCTTTAACAGTTAACAATTTATTATTTTTGCCATCAACAGTCTTCAATGGGAGGCACAAGAGGTCCTCTCAGACCCTCTGAATTTACATGTCTGAGCAGACTTCATGAGACCTCTGAGCCCAGACAAGTTAAAGGACTAAAAAAAGTATACTCACAGAGATGTAGCTAAAGGAATCAACACAACAGACCTCAAGACATAAGACCTTTTGTTTATGGAGACAGTGTCAGCTGTCAAGGTAGGGAAAAAAATGGCTTTAGGCCAAGAAATAGATAGAGAAGTAGGAGGGAAACAAGCTGAACTCACCACCTTCTCATCAGAGAAGGTAAGCAAGTCATGAAGTGTTCACCAGTAAGCTCACATACATGTTACACACATCTGCTTCCCACTTTTTAGACCAGATATTATAGGTTCATTTGGGATTTTCACAAATGTACTTAGGACTTCAATCTCTTCTGTGGCTGGGCTGGCTGGCCATCTCACCTTTCACTACCAATATTCAGAAAGATAGCCGGGCTTAGCATTGGTAATGTTACATACCCATGGTCACAATTACCCTCGCTACAGCTCCAAACTGAAGCTCTTGGGGGTTTTTATCAGAGGCAGCAACAAGAAAGAAGGAAAAAAAGGCCCTCTTTTCCCCCCACCCATTCCCAGTATTTATTTTCCCTGGCTGATGGATTTTTTTTGCTTTGTAAAGGTATTAGACAATATTATCCTGGACTTGTTGATTTCAGAGCAAGAAAAAAGCTAAAACAGGGACATCGGGGTGGATCAGTTGGTTAAGCGTCTCGTGATCTCGGGGTCCTGGGACAGAGTCCCACATCGGGCTCCTTGCTCAGTGGGGGGCCTGCTGGTCCCTCTGCCTGCTGCTCCCCTGCTTGTGTACATGCTCGCTCGCTGACAAATAAATAAAATCTTAAAACAAAACAAAACAAAAAACCCCCACAAAACCTAAGAAAGAAAGAAAAGAAAAAGCTAAAACAGGTACCTAGTTGGCTCAGTCAGCGGAGCATGTGACCCCTGATCTCGGGGCTGTGAGTTCAAGCCCCACGTTGGGCCTAGAGATTACTTTTAAAAAAAAAAAAAAAAAAAAGGCAGTTAAAATAGAAACCAGATCAAAGCATCCATAAAGAATTAGCCTCCTAAAGCCAGCCAGCGCTATTCTACCTGGGACCCCTGAGGACTGAATGGATACGGGTACAGACATGGTCCTTTGGAAGGGTATTCAGTTTTTCCCTTCACAGTAACACTTAGTAAACCATAATCTAACGTCACTATGCAATTAGTCATCAGGGACTGTGGTCCCCAGGTGCTAAGAGAGAAGCTGTAAAGCATTACCTAATTCAGACCCCATCCTAGTTCCCTCTGGTATTAATTATTCAGCCATGGAAACCAGTGCATACTGGGAAGGTGACACACTTCATTCCCCAAGTACAGAGGCAGAGCACACAGCCTGTTCTAATGCTGGAGCTGGGTCTGCACAGGGGGAAAGAAGGCACAGGGCACCTATAACCCCCAACATGGCATCATTCTAAGCAGAACAGGGCATGGGCTCTGAAAACCAGGGGCAGGAGGCCCACACTGGGCAGTCTAGAGCAACAACCAACAACAATCCTTAGGCCAAACACATTCCCTCATCAAAAGGCCCAGAATCTTCAGGGAACATCACCATTAAAAAGGAGACACACTGATCAGGACTGCTTCCATTTCTGCAGAATGGCCGTAGGGCCCCCTGTGTCTGTGGCATTCCCCGGGGGCCTCCCAGGCCATGCCTCTCAGCCTGCAAGGGACACCTCGTGTTCTCAGAGGGGAGCCAGGAAAGGAGAGGCCCAGGTTCCAGGGCATCTCTCACAAGGATAAATGCAATAAGGAAATCTGACTCCACAGGACAAAAAGGTGACAGAAAGCAAACAGATCATGAAATATTGTGAAAATATAAAGAAATCAGATAAATGTTGAAGAGAAATACAAGCATTCTTCTAAAAGATACACCAGAATCACCATTCACTAGGAAGACCTTATGATTAAAAATAGTCCCAAAGAACACAGCTCCTTATCTGCCTTAGATTTTTAGCCACTTTGGTGACTCACCATTTGCACATGTGTATCTGACTCCACCAATGACAGAGAATAGAAGGACCACTTTAAATGATGACACGAGCTACTGAGCTGGGAATTTAATGATACTTAGGTTGGGTACAGGTGTGGTGGTTTCAATGAAGCTCCCGCATTTTTGACATTGTTTAAAGTAAGATGATTACGTGAACAGAAGTTTAAGTATGCTGATGCTGATTCTAAGTTTAAAAACACATCATATTAAGCAAAACTTCTGGAAGGAAAAGGAAGCATATAGCTGAAGGGAATTATAGCTATCACTTTGCAGTCACTAGACAATAGGCCAATGAATAATGAATATAAAAATGTCCTTAAAAAAAAAACAAAAACAAAAACAGAAAACGTTGTCCTGTCCCATCTGTGATTTTCATTGATGGGGAGAAGATCTCCTCTCTTTCCCATCCATGCCCAATAAATATGTTTGAAATCAGACTGTTGATGCAAGGAAAATGAAATGGGGACGCCAAATGATGAGACCCATTCTAAAAATATCTATGGATGCTGTCATCTGGTCTCTGGTGAGAGTAAGTCCCTCTATAATCCTTGCATCTGTAGGGAAGGCAAGTTTCTGCCTAATTATCACCACTAAATCACATGACATGCTAAGAAAGGGCAACGCCTCCAAAAACTCTACACAAAACATAACAACCCTAATCAACTTAAATCTGGGAATAAAACATTAAAGTTCCTACTGCTGTCCTCCTACAACTTAACTCCACTGTGACAAATATGGATTTCTCAGCAGTGTTTTTATCTTTTTGGCACAGAGGAAAGGAACAGGACCCTGATACCAAATATGACACAGAAGGGAAACAAGCCAGTAGCATGAAACCCTCACATCCACAAATCCATGAAGGTAGCCACTGCTTTCCTAAGCTAAAATGAAAGATGTCTGGAGGAGGTCTGCCTGAAACACAAAATTAAAGTCAAACACCGCTTTCCCTACTCTTTAAACATAAAGATAATTTAGGCCAAACCTGCCAACCCTGGGACAAGCGGGGGACTAAATATGGAACATATAGGACAGAAAAGGAAATGAATCAACGTTCACTCGATCTGACAGGGAAGACTCATGTGGAGTTCAGAGAACAGGTGTGGGCTTTAGACTAGGGAAGTTTCCACCCCTGAGGAGAGAGCAAAGAAATGCCTGCCTGCCACCATCTCTGCTTTGCCCCCAGGGGGATCTCTGGGACACCCAATCCATCATAAGCCACAACCATCTGCCACCATCCACCCAGGCTTCTGGAGCTGGTGTCACCCCAGGAAAAACAGCATTTCTGTGGGTCCTGGGTTGGGCAATCACGTCTAATTCTGGAGTACCAAAATGGCAGCAGCTCCCCTGGCGTCCATCTTCATAGCCAAAACACGAAGCAGCTGAAGAAAACACCTAACGGGTACAACCCTTCGTTTAATTTAGTAATTTTTCAGCATCTCCCAGGTTGGAATGGGAGACAAAGACTTATGGAAACAGCGGAGGGCCAGCCTGGTGGTCACTATGACAGCAGGAGCCTGTCAGATGACAATCCAGCCCTCTGCCTGCACTGCTGGCCAAACAGTGCCATCCTCCAGGACTTCCAGAGAAGGCGAATGAGGTGGTGCAGCTCTATAAAAACACATTTTGAAGAATGCTGTCAACCTGCCACTTCAGCAACTTAATAGTTAATAAGGGAAGCAGAATAGGTAGGGAGGTTTCCACCAGGCGGGAAGCCAAATTTGTATCCAGTTTGAGGAGCCTCAGTAAAGGAAAGTCAAATTTCTAGGAAATGCAGCCCATAGGCACAGATGCCTTTTCTTTTTTTTTAAAAAAAAAGCTTTATTTGAGAGAGAGAGAGAACGCAGGCACATATGTGCTTGTGGGAGTTGGGCGGGGGCAGAGGGAGGAGGAGAGGAACCTCAAACGGACTCCCTGCCGAGCGCAGAGCCCAACAAGGGGCTCGACCTCATGACCTGAGCCCAAATCAATAGTCAGATGCTCAACCACTGAGTCAC